ATGGATTAAAAAAAAAAATCACAAATTTTCAAAAAATTCAATCATGGATTACAAAAAATTCGATCATGGATTACATAAAATTCGATCATGGATTACATAAAATTCGATCATGGATTACATAAAATTCGATCATGGATTACAAAAAAAAACAAAACAAAAAAAACAAAAAATTACAATCGTGGATTACAAAAAAAGAAAAAAACAAATTCGATCATGGATTACAAAAAATTCTTACAAAAACTCTATCATGGGTTACAAAAAAAGCAAAAAATAAAAAATTCAATCATGGATTACAAAAAAAAAACAAACATTTCGATCATGGATTACAAAAAAAAACAAACATTTCGATCATGTATTACAAAACATTCGATCATGGATTACAAAAAATTCTATCATGGGTTACAAAAAACAAAAAATTCGATCATGAAGAAAAAAAAAAAACATTTCGATCATGGATTACAAAAAATTCGATCATGGATTACAAAAAATTCTATCATGGGTTACAAAAAAACAAAAAATCCGATCATGAATTACAAAAAAACAAAAACAATTCGATCATGGATTACAAAAAAATCAATCAAGTATTACAAAAAAATCTATCATGGATTCAAAAAAAAAAAAAAATAATTCCGTATGGGACTCGCCGATTTACTGTTTGGACTCGGCGTTTTTTAAAACACTGGTTCGAACCATCCAATTCAACCTTTCAAGTAGGACAACTCTTGTGTGGTAAAAAAAATGTATAAAATCATGCAAAAAAAATCTAATTAAAATATAAAAAATATATTTTAAAGAACTATCACACAAACCACGTCTAAGTTTAAAATTAAAGAATTTTTATTTTAAAAAAATGGATTTATACTTAAGGGTATTTATGATTTTTTATAAATATATATATATATATATATATATATATAAATTAATATTAATGACCAAAATAATTTACAATCTTTGCCACAATGAAAAAAAATATTAAAAAAATATTACAAACAAAATCCATTACTTTTGGGATTTTTCTTTCGATTATTTTTTAAATACCTATCGGTCACTAAACCAGGCCAAAACTAATGACCGGTTCTCATCTAACTGGGCAATTATTAGTTAGATCGCCCTGTTTTACCCATAGTAGTTCTACTTCACAGGCATGACTCACACATCGTGTTTCAAAATTTCCATATTGTTTATGGATGAAGTTTCCATAGGGATTAGGTTTTAGGAAAACAAAACAAAGCCTCATCTCAGATCCTCATCCATAAATCACTTTGGGCATCGAAAATCTTCATGATGGTTTTAAAATCAATTTCTAAAACCGACAATAAATTTTAAAACTAAAAAAATGGTACAAATCTTGTGGATATGTTAACACTAATTTTATAGTGAAATAGATGGTCTAGATGATTCTTGCAATATACATTATTTTTAGAATTTTAAATCCTAATTCTTTTTCATAACCATAATGTTGAAGTTGAGACGATAGATTTAAAAGCTTTTCAACACTTGAATTGCAATTTTTAATGAGTTATGAGGTGAAGCTTTACTTATTTTGAAAGGGTTGCAGCCTTGTCAAACAATTTTCCATTATTTATAGGGAGATTTATAAAAACTAAGGTTTGTATAGAGCCGAGGCTCTAAACAATCAAAGTGAATTGCACCTGTAAATAGTATCGAGAAATGTGGTTTCAATATTGAAAATCATTGTGATAGCCTTAAAATATATTTTCATCTTTAATTATAAAATTTGAAGTTTAAAAAATAGTGTAGATCAAACAAATCTATGAAAACTTGGAAATCTTGAAAATTGATGGTCCAAAAATGCATTACTAGATGCACTATTTTCAAAACTTGAAATTTATTTATTTTCATGTCCATACATCTTGATGTCAAGACGATCAATTTGAGGATATTTGGGCATCAAAATAACTTCTTCTAGTGAAATTTTTGAGGTGCGTTCTAATTTGTTTGTTTAGAGCCTTGATTCTATATAAACATTTTCCTTCCATATTATTTATAAGGAGATTTATAAAAGGGTGTTGTTTGTATAAAGATGAGACCCTAAACAATCAAAGCAAGACGTACCTTCAAATTGTGTGGAAATATGTTGTTTTAATATTGGAATTTTTATGAGAAAAATGGTTTGATAGGGCTGCAGCCCTATCAAAATAAGTAAAGCCTTACCTTATAACTCATAAAAAATTGCAATTCAAGCATTAGACAACTTTTACATTGACCATCTTGCCTTGAACATTATAGTTGTGGCCAAAAAAAAAAAGGATTTCAAGCTCTAAAAATAGTGTATACTGTAACAAATTATCTAGACCATCCATTTCACCCTAAAAGTAATTGTTTGGATCTTGTACCAGTTTTTGAGTTTTGAATTTTGCTGTTGGTGTTGGAAATTGATCTTAGAGCCATCATGGAGAATTTGTCACTTGAAAATATGCAAATAACAGTGTGAATGCATTTTTTGAATTATACATTTTTGTAATTTCAAAATTGAAGAATTTTTTAGACGAACAAAGCAAAATGTTGGGCACTTAATCGGTTGAATGTACCTTGAGCCTTGATTTTCCGAATTATTGGTTATTCCTGGCTAAGAAATTGAATATGATCTTCAAAAGGTTTCTGAGTTCAGATGGGCAATTGAAGATGAGGAAGTCAATACATTTGACTGTCAGGAATCAACTAAGGTTTATGAATTTAATTTTTTTGATACATAACAAATTACACCTGTTGTTCACACTGTTCCATCACCTTCTTCATTTGCTGATGGTCTGTCTAAGATTCGGCATACTGGGAACTTAATGCCAGTTTTGCATCTTTTTTCTTAGCAATGCTTCATCAGTTATCTTTTTCGCGCCTTCTCTGTTTCACTGTTGTTTCCCTCCCCTCCCCCAAGCGTAATTTAGAGTCGATTTCAAAACTTAAACAAGATACAACTTCTATGTTGTAGGGAGAACATAAAAAGCTTTCTCAAAAAATAATGCTTTAGTAATTTGTTTCCCTTAAAATCATACTGAATGACCATGTAATCATCTGGACTAGTTTTGCTTATGTCGTTCTTTGGTTCATCTCAGCTCTGAATGGCCGTTGGATTGTTAACTGTGACATGTGGTAGTCGAATATACTTTAGTAAATTCTTGTACCCTAGAGGTATTTTGTTTCATGTTACTTGTTATTCATGTCATTTTATTGCCCTGGGGCTAAGGATGAAGCCAATTATTTCTGCAACTTGATGGGACTTTCAAAATTTCTCGCAACCTTGGGCTGTTCGAAATATTCGGAAGCTTGAAATTCTGATTACGTTTCTCTACAATGAAATCCGATGATGAAATTCATTTTCGTTATCATGCAAAAACTCCAATCACTTGTTTTTCACATTTTCATTATTGTTTTTCATGAGAGCTGTCCAATTTATCAAATACAATTAATTCTACCAAAATACCCACACCCTTTCAAGCAACCCACGACCCTTCTCTCTCTCTCGCAAAATATCACAATAACTGTCATCACATAAGCCCTGCCAAAAGAAAAAGTTATCCTTCTTTGGCTCTAACCCTCCTCTATCTCTCTCACACACCCTCACACTGATCGAGCAAGCTCTCTCAAAACCTAAGGGAGCTTTCTCTCTCAACCCTCGTTATAGATCATTGATTTTTAATACGAGCGGTCACAATCACTCTTATCCATCAGATTTTAAATTCAGTAGTTGTGAATTATCATCGATTAGACTCAAATATCAAAAAGTATTTCTCGAACTTTATGATACACCTTAAGCCATTCAATTTTTTGACATCTAATGCCTAAGAGAACTTACGGCTTAAAAAAATAAATAGTCCTATAG